TGTCCTCAGCGGCTCCAATCTCGGTCCATACACCGCCTTCAAGGAGTCAACGAATTCCTTGTGTTGGCGGCGTTCGGCGTAGCATTCCATCTGCTTCGCCTTCTCCGTCCACCATGCATTTTTAATGCAAAGGAGCTCTCGGGTCAGTCGCCGTCGAAGTTTGCGAAACTGACTACTCTTCCCCAAGTCACTGGGGTCTGCAACATGTGCAGCAAATGCTGCATTCTTCTCCGACACCAATGCGCCGATCGTCGCACTGTTGTCATTAAACCAATCAAGCCGCTTACTGTTTGCGCGCCCGATGGTCTCCTCGGCAGCAGCTGTCACCTGGTCGCGAATGTGGTGCCACAGGTCGCCCACATTGGCTATGCAGTCCACATCACACAGGCGTGCAGCCATCGCCTTCTCCAGCTCAGTACTTTTCGCCACAGTACCGAGGGAGAGAATGTTAAATTTACGCCGATTCACGGCGGGAGGGCAATACATAGATTTACGAAAATATATGTACAGTTTGGTCCGCACCAACTTGTGATCAGTGCCACACTCAGCTCCACGCAGTACACGTGTCATGCGCACTTCACGCATATCACGCTGACGTACGATGATATAGTCGAACAGTTGAGCGTGACCACTCCGTGGGTGCGTCCAAGTTGCTATATCACTGGCACTCAGTGCAAACCGAGTGTTCGTGATCGTCAGGTCGTGAGTGGCACACAGTGAGAGCAGCCTGTCACCGTTCCCATTCGCTGAGCCAATGCCATGCGCACCGATAACATCTGTCCACGCTGATGCATCACGCCCAACGCGCGCGTTGAAATCACCCAGGAGAAATAGTCGGTCGCTCCTCGGCACAGACCGTATCACGGAGGATAGCTCAGTGTAGAACTGAGCACGCGTGTCATCAGGATAACACATGGTCGGACCGTACTTGCTTATAAAAGTAGCAAACTTACCTCTTCCGAGTCGTAGGCGAACAGTCATCAGTCGCGCGCTGATGCCCGTTGGTTCACCCACCAGCTGGTCATGGAGGCGATCGGATATTGCAAATCCGACCCCATGTTCACGTGGCGCTGAGGCGGCGTTGCCCACCCAGTAGAATGTGTAGCCAGCACCTGCTTCATGCAACTTACCTTGCTCAGCGAGCCGGGTTTCACTGAGCGTCGCAATATCGATGTTGTAGCGCGCCAGCTCCATCGCGACGAGTGCAGTGCGTCGCTCCGGGCGCTCGCTGGAGTTCCGGTCCAGTAGTGTGCGCACGTTCCAGCACCCGATGCTGAGTGCTTTGCGTGCAGGCATCTGATTGCATTGGTGGGCAATCGCACGCGAGGTGGTCGTTTTGCTTCGGAGGTTTGCTTGAGGGACTCCACCCGGAGCCTTTGGCTCAATAGCCTGACCCACAAGGCGGTGAGTGGTTTGGATGTTTGTCTGAGGGACTCCGCCCGGAGCCTTTGACTCAATAGCCTGACCCACAAGGCAGTGGGGAGCAGATCCAGCTCGGGAATGTGATTGCAGAGACAGATTGGGATCTGCTTGACGGGCGTCACACGCAGCCTTTGAGGTTCTGGAACGTTTTATATATGTTTTGCGACCGTAGTAGGATACGCAACTGTGACCACGGCCAGACGCAGGTGGGTTTTGGTGGGTTTGCACCAATTTGCTCAGGGGCTGCCTGGCTTGAGGCGGGCAGTAGCAAATCATTGAACACCCGGAGGTGTCCTCCCATCGTCAGCAAAAATGCGTGGCGCTCGTGCTCTACGCCAATCGAGCTGTGAGCTTATAACCCCTAGACCTGTTGTCTCCCATGGCTAGGTTTTACGGGAAGTGGGCCATCGACCACTTCCTAACCTCCGAAGAGGATGGACTAGGATACTGCCAGGGCGCCCACACCTGACAGGAGAACGACTCGGGTCCTCAGCCAAAGCCTTCGATTAAATGAACACCCGAATGACAGCGGGTCTAGCACGTGGTGTCCTGGATCCTAGCAAGGAGAAGTTGGTAACGCAACTCCAACCCAGCGGTCGCCAGGAGGAGGCGCCCAGGACATGAGCAAATGACACAACAGTAGCAGCAGTTGGTAGACCATCTGTCAGGATCTAGCCACCACCAGCCTCAATGCACTATATATATATATAATATATATATATATATAGCCCGTAGTAATATGGAAAATTAGTGCGCTTTTCTCTCACACGAATGCACAAGCCTCTGTACCCCAGTAACAGAGTAAATTGGCGCAAGACATCTGAAGTATCCTTTTAGGTAGACGCGTTGAATGAATGATGAATGTAGGTCAGTGAATTTTGCTGTTAAAAAGTTCCACAAAATGCTGTATGGTATACATTTCACCTTGTTGACCGACCAGAAGCCGTTGTTGTCCATCTTTGGCTCCAAGACGGGTATTCCAACGTATTCAGCCAGTCGACTTCAACGATGGGCCGTCATCCTTCTCGGTTACGATTTCGAAATCCGTTTCTGCCGCACTCAGGAATTGGTCAAGCTGACGGTCTCTCACGCCTCATCCCCAAACATACGGTAAATGAAGATATCGTGATCGCCGCTGTCGCCGTCGAAGAAGATGTTCGTCATCAGCTTTCAGACACTATCCGCAGCCTTCCACTTACAGCCGCCGACATACGTCGCGAAACTGCACATGATCCGGTTCTCCGCTAAGCTATCGCTTACGTTCAGACACGCTGGCCTAACATTACCTTCTCAGGAGAACTCAAGCACCTATTCCAGCGTCGGGACTCCCTCTCTGTCGTCGACTCCTGCCTTATGACCGCTGATCGAGTCATAGTTCCTGTCCACCTTCGACAAGCCGTGCTCCGTCAGTTCCATTCTGCACACCCTGGTATCAGCAGAATGAAGGCAATTGCTCGCAGTTTCGTCTATTGGCCTGGGATAGACAGCGACATTGAAGATTTGGTCCGCCGTTGCTCCAGGTGTCAAGAAGCAGCCAAGATGCCACAGCACCAACCACCAGTTCCCTGGCAACCAACAGAGAAACCGTGGTCTCGAGTACATATCGATTATGCTGGTCCAATTAATGGTACCTCCTATCTGGTCCTGGTTGATGCGTACTCTAAATGGCCTGAAGTCGTAACAATTAATTCTCCGACTACCACCGCAACAATAACTTGTCTCCAACGCATATTCACTCAACATGGATTCCCTGATGTTCTAGTGTCCGACAACGGAACGCAGTTCACGTCATCCCAATTTGAGGATTTTTGTCGCTCTCACTGCGTCCAGCACCTCCGATCACCACCCTATCATCCACAGTCTAACGGTCAAGTGGAACGTTTTGTCGACACTTTCAAGCGAGCGCTCTTAAAGGCTCGAGGGGAGGGAACTACAGAAACCATTATTCAGGCTTTCCTGTTCGTCTACAGGACCACACCTAATCCAGCAGTTCCAGGAGGGAAATCACCCGCCGAAGCATTGATGGGTCGGAAACTGCGCACAACACACGACGTACTAATCCCAACCAAAGTACCACCGGTGAAATCCAAAATCAAAACCAAGTGCAAAGGCTACGCTGTTGGAGCTCCGGTCTTTGCCCGTGACTACCGGGCTGGTCACCCACACTGCATCGAAGCTACAGTAACGGACCATCATGGTAGTATGCTATACGATATCGTTGTAGGAGATGACACCTGGGTTCGCCATCAAAACCAACTTCGGCCGCGACATGGAACACTCAAAAAGCCATCACAGTCAACCGCAAAAACACCCCTGCACATACTATTGGATACTTTCGGAATTCCCGGGCAACAGACGGAAACTGTGGAACTCGCACCGCCGATTCCTCCTCAAGGATCACAACGCATCCGTCGAACAACCGAAAGAATACAGATCGACCCAAAACTCAAACGGTATGTTCAAACTTAAAGAAGGCATGTTTTGGGGACCCAACGTCCCTATAATTATTAAAGGCTTAAATTACGGAAGGCTGAAAACCCGATTTACTCAAGTGCACATGTACTCAGAGCGGACAAAACGCACACGTTCAATCAGCCTTCCAACTCGTGTAACATGCACTTTGTTTAGCCTTTGCACCCAGAAACAGTCTTGTTTCCAACCAAACACGCATTGTTGTATCCAAGCGACATTCATTTTTCCGGACAACTCTCGCCGAGCTTCCAACATTTCTGCTCAGTTACGGACTTTACACATTTACATAAAACCATGTTTCTTGTTTCCAGGCTTTGCTTACGCAAACCCTTCCAAGGAAAAATCCCCTTCATCACCGTTTCGTGATATAAAGATGAGGCTGTACAACGCTAGAATCGCCTTAGCTTTGGCAAGTAAAAGCGCCTGTGGCAAAGGCCTGCCTTGTTCTTGCTTCAGTCTTGGGTTGGGAAATCGTGCGTAGAACTTTGCGTTCGGTCTAGGAACCCGTTCGACTCGCGTGAACTAATCTTTCTCGGCTAAGTTCCGAGAACCCACAGACTTCGAGATTGTCAGTTACCGTGCTGTACGAGAAACAATTCTGAGTCTACGTTCGTTCAACAGACTAGGAGAGTTGGTATTACATTGTTAGAACCTGACGTATTCAAGAGGCAGTATTCAACATTGTCAAAACACAAAACTGAAGAGGATATCTGCATTCGCGACATTAATAATCTATAAAACTACGCATACACGTGTGTACCTATGAATTTATTTAGACTGTCGATCTGACTGCGACCATCTCGTTGATATTTCTTGATAGAAATTAGTAAGCAAGAGATTTCACGCGCAAAATCATCTCTTAGTGATATCCGCTTCCTAACGCACGCATCATTTTAAACCATTTTGTTGCTCTAAGCAGCACAATTTACGTTCGCTGATTGGCATATCGGGCAACTCGCTTATAGCATAACGCGAACAATGAGCTGAAAATGGAATCAACGGATCTGTAATCTATTCCAACATCGCATCTCTAGTACTGATCATCAAGAACAATAAGTAGCATGCTCACAAATTATATTGCGAAAGAACGGTAGAGACATTTTGTTTCAGATGCATAGAGAATCAATCGCGACGGTCTGAAATGGAGAGGATATGGTGCATGAAGCAAACAGTGATTTACATTGCTTTCCTTTGAAACGTAAGAGAACATGTACTTTGAATGTTTAAAAGATTAAGATGCGTTCTATCCAGACTTGGAAATACACGTGGTTGTTTTTTCCGTTATTAAGTTTGCGTATATTATGCATTCAGTGAACAATGCTGCTAAGCTTGAAAGCACCTTTGAACAATTTGTACAGGATCAAGAAACATCACTTCATTCATTTCAAATATACTCTCCGTGACGAAGCTAACCGTCTCGATGATGACTGTCGAAGCGACTTACGAGTTAAAATGCAACTCGCAAAGCTTCTACCTGCAGCATCCATGATAATCTGCAATCACTTGGATTCTTGTTTTAATCAAACAACAGGAAACATTATATTGGTGAAGCACAAATTGTTGTATGTAGGTAGTTCTTTGGGCACATATTAGAATCCACATGTTTGCCCCACATTTTGAATATAACTGTGAAAGCTAGATGTGTTAAAGTTTCTGCTAAACTGTACACAGCGCATGAGTGATAAAGGCCTCCTTTGCCAATGCGTGAAAAATGTTAACAACACATTTTATCGGGCAAAAGTATCACGACGGAATTGCAGTAGCTCACATTTACGTCCACGTGGTTGCCCTGGCAATTGGATACCGAAGTCGGATATAAACACAACGAGTGTGACAAATGACAAATTGCTAGGAACAAAATATATGCCAAAATATTTTTAAGAACTAAATAACTATTACACATTGCGGTGTCCAAACCATGGAAGAAAACCAAAGTGATATTCAGAAAGCCTATTGAAACGGGTAAACGTAGGGTGAAAGTGTCTAAGCTCATACTTTACCACACAAACAAAAACGAGCATAATTAAACTGCAAGTAACTTGGGCCTTGTTATAAAACGCAATTTGGAAGTACAACAGTGTGTCCCCTTCAGCCATTTCGTTAGGGCAGAGAGAAGACAGAGGTTGCGATATGTCAACATTTTGATTGTTCTCTTCAGTCGCGACTGAAGGTTAGAATTAATGCGCGAAACCTTGGTAGATTATATTAAGGAACTAAATTCGTGCCGTAGTATTTTAACAGGAGCTAATACCTTGACGACGAATGAGATCATATATATAGCACTTGTGCGTCTACACGAAAGATGCATTGCAATACCAATCGTGAAATATTGGATCCATTAAGCTCGAACTATATATGTGACGATTCCGATTGACTGATTCATCAACAAGTTAAGTTGGATGAAATAACTGTGTGAACATAACTAGCCAATACGCAAATTTTACCGATATATCGTAAAAGAGCCCGATGGACGCATGTACCATATACACAGTTAAAATCTGAGGTGGACGATGGTTAAGATTTTGGCGAATAAACGTAGAATAAGTGATTTTGGTTGCATTCACAACCATTGAGAAGAGAACTTACCCACGTCCAAATCTTGCTCTATCAAAAAATCAAGTGCCATGATGAAAGGACTATAGCAATAAACGAGAACTTGCTTCACTTTTCCGAATGCATGCAAATTTTGGGAGCACAAGCAAGTATATCACATTAATTGATATCCGACTTTGAGTTCTAGGATCCACCTGTGTCACAAACGAGTTGTGTGTAATGATGAAATGATACAGCAAACGTGCCGTAACTCTGAACCCAGACGGTCGTTGCGCGCTTAGCATAAATTCTGGCTTACGAACGGTTCACTCACTCTGATTCACTTTTTGCGCTGAAATGTGCGGCAATTTGGAGAGAAATATCATTCCGTTTATCATTGATTGACTTGTTTACACAGAGGCAAGTAAATACTCAGTTAATCGGAGCAAATCGAATGACTAATATCACTGCTAATTTCAGCTAATAGCGTTACCAACATCCTCGCACAGAGAAAAATATCACAGTTTAGTTAACATTTACGTCGAAATCGCCACATCCTTGCTGCATCTGCAAATGCGACAATTTCCTCGTAGAAATTAAGAAAAGTCAACTATTGCAAAACCTGGAGATCTTGTTAAGAAATTGTACTTTCACGGAAAACGATTGAAAGTGAAAACGTAATAGTTGGATAATGCCCACTGCGCATCATCTAACTGTGCAATAAATGAATAATAATGTGACCCTGATGCGATATTTCTGAAAACGACTTCCAAAAGCGTGTTTTGCGGTCAATCATGTAATCGCTTCGTTAACCATATATAATTTACACGACTGCACCCATATTGTAGCGTTGATTAAAACGATTTTCTTAATGAAACACTTCATGAACAGCACATCATTCATTTGGTTATGCTTTGCTCAATTTGGCAAACGTTCCTGAATAGGTGTGTGTCACATATGCTCATGCCGTTATGTGTAAACGTCGAAGTCAAAACTGAAATGAGTTATTATGTTTGCATTTATGCGGATAGGATTCGTTGCTTAGACACTCATACCGCTGATGCCTACTCATCAAGAATCCGCTTGAGTTTTGCGTGGTTGGGATTAGTATAAATGAAGCGCCGAATGATCATCTAAGTACGGGCTCAGCTAAGGTGACAATGTAGCAATATGCACGGGCAAATAAAGTAGAATATTAGCTCAGTATAGTCCATCTAAATTTATATGCTTTCCAGTGTGGTTATAGTAAACCTAGACATATTACATCATGCATTATTTATTTATACATAATTCAAAAATACCATAGAGCGGCTGAGGCTGACAGCATAGATGGTTAGGTTTCGAGTTGATTTAACTCACCGACGTTGACGTCTAAATGAGAACAATATATGCGTTTGTGTAAGTAATATTCAACACCTAACTTAATTGCCTTGCTCTGAGTTAAATAATCGCAAAGGCTAGGGAACTTGAATCCAAAGGAAGCAGAGCATGATCATATAGGGGGACGGATTAGGGTGATTGGACAAAGTTTATATCGTGATAAATTAGTGATTTTCTGCAAATTTCATTGCACCACTGGACTATCCTTTATCTTTTAAAATGAAGCCGCTACTCATCGCCGCATTGGGCTTGCAGATTGATCAAGTGACGCCTACTGTTTGCTAGTATCCACGATTTCCGAACTCCATGGATTATGGTTCACAAGCCGTATCATGTTTACTAGTCCTTGAGTAGATATTAATGTTAGTTTGTACTTTATAGTGCATGCTCTTGAAACCGCACATGCATTTCTACCACGAAGCCGGATTAACACGCAGTAGTCCAAATGTGAACGATCCCACATAAGTAAAAATTGAGAATACCGAGTTACATGTATATGCCGCCATCGGTGCATCACCAGCTATGCCAAGTGCATTGTATCAGTGTGTGAATTGACCTCAAGCGAAGTCCGAACAAGGAAACAAATGGCGTGCTATTATTCCGACTTACCCTCTTCCAACTCAGGTGCTAATAGGGGAAGGACGGAGAGGTGAAAAATCAACACATTGTTGGAGATTGATCAATCATTATAATATTTACCACTTTAGGACCAGCTAAAGCTTCTTCCATAAAATGACCACATATCTTTTCATATCGAGATATCTTAGAATCGAGCATGAATGACTAAAAGTACATTCGGATTTGCAGACTTAAAAAGGTGTGTCAATATTCCAACTTACGCTCCCTCCATGCAGGTCCTAAAATGGGAAGAGTAGATATCTCACAAATACACATTTTGATGCGTTAAACGCGAAGTAAATTTGCTCAGCTCGCTAAGTCTGTTTCATAATGTGAACTTACTCAAGAGGCCTGGTGGAATGAAGATGAAGTGGAAGATGGTAGTCGGTGTGATTAGGGGACCAATCGTTAAAAGCATTCACGATTATGTCTCGCCCCATCTCAATTTTACACCGGGCGACATGCACTCGCGCTTAAGCAAAACCACATAGCAGCCAGAACTGCGGCATTAATATTAAATTATTTGCCCAAATAGATATGCATCAAACAACTGGGGTAACCATATATATGATGGAGAATCCAATGGACGCTGGATTAAATTCAAGATTTGCACGTTTCTTATATTTAAACGAGCACGCTTAGCGTGATATCATTCCCTGCATCCGGTACATAATCTATCATTTCTGTCGTTTCACCGTAGCCGAAAAAGATGCTCAAGCCTGTCTCACCAGCCGCTTATTACGTTGGACTTCGCTTTATGTCATTTTCCCAGGTTATCTAGTCCAAGCTGTAGAGCATGGCTTTAGTTAATGCACACGCACCAATGCACGAAGTTGCACATGGAATCAGAATGCTGGATCTCTAAAACATGTAGATTTGTCAACACCAGTCTTGACGTAAAGCATTGGAAATATCCGTGTCGAGATTAGTTAGATTCCGTTTGCACAAAGCGCGTTAAATTATTTCGTTATCAGTAGCTAGGTATTGAATAAAACACATGGGAACAGGAGAATATACACAACGACGGAGGCGAATAACCAAACATTACTAAAAATATATTTATGCTGTGAATATAGCCGAGTAACAATAGTTGGAATGAAAGTATTCCACTAAAATAAACCTGATGCGAAATCTTTGCGCTTTTAGATTTCTAAAGTCGCCTTTCCATCAATAAAAGCGGTTAAAACATCAAAGCTAAATGAGGGATCCTAGATTATATACCCAAATCATAGCGCTGATAAATCCAGGTGGAATTAGTGTAAGCTGTAGGATAACCAGCGAGCTGGCGAGGGTTCATCTGCAATAATATCGCTGTGCGTCCATACTGAGAACAGTTTCTGACCGAGAGGAAATATTCGTTGCTCGGATCATGTGTGCCTTGCAGCATCAGCATACAAAATATTATGACGACACTCAGATGACTGCGGATTAATTCATGTGCACCATATCAATGCCACAATTAAAATCTAAGTCTAATGCATTCTTGCATGAGTAGACTGGTAGCATTCGCGATATAGCGGATTCAATAGACTCTAACGGTGCACTATGTGTTCATTACCCTCCTGACACCCTTACATAGAAACAACATGTGCCGCGCCACCGATACAATAGAAAGACAGAACAATGTATCCCACGATATGCTGAAATTCAGCTGTCATGCCTGATACATCACCAAAACTACAGTGAGAGTCTGACGTATTCGCGGACAGATATCCAAAGGGAAACGATAATTAGACTGGATACATACCGTAATAATTGATGTAGATGCTTCACCATAAAATGCTTCCGATACGGAGGTTTCCCGCAAATTTCAGAGAAGATATATATTATAGATCTCTTAGGTAGCGAATCAGGGCATTACTTAATGCTTCACCGTGAAAACATATGGGTCCCTTCTAAAAGATTAAAGCCCGGATGTCGCAGCAGGTGCATTGGGCTGAACCATGACAAGATATGCGATATACATATGCACGTCTGTTGCATCTGATCATCCAGAAAGATTGTAAGGCCGCAACTGCGGAATCACTTGTTCTCCTGTTTTTACTTTGATTCTAACAGACGTCAAATAATGGAGAACTAAAACAGCTTCAGGTGCTGCATGCAAAGTTGCAGGTTCTGTTCAAGTGCGCAAAATATCAGCGACTCTGAGAATTCACAACACCAGCAGCTTGCTTATGTGACCATGATGGTGCTTGGAAATGATCCAAATGATAATGTTACACAGCAAGAACCATCTGATGGAACTCAGGCAGATAGTAATTGTTCCCCACGTAACACCGGGAAATGCGGAAATCCAACCGAATCAATGCTAGACAATTGAGAAACAAATTTGCGCTTCTACGAACCCGCTTCGCCAGCTAAAAAACTACTTCGAACCGATCCTATTTGACCTCTATTTGGTTGATAACATCAACTGGCCCTGTTCATCGGTCACAGCAATCTGTATTCAAGGGGACAATAGTGAATCCAGAATGTTTGAAGTGATTAATACCGAGCTTCCACACATCGAGTTGAATATTGGCCCAACATGAACGTGCGGTAGAGAGCTTTAAACGAAAATCAATCGCTCAATGGAGAGCTACACATTTGCATGCACAGGAAAGTAACTTATGTATGTGTCCCATTGGACTATACATCCGATTATTTATTGCGGGCAATGCTCGTTGATAAATAAAGATTTCCATATATTGCTTTCCGAATCTCGTGTTTCAGACATTTGCAGAACATGTTAGCAACAATTGTGTTCAACTTGGACGCTTCGCAGAATCCGGAGATGTAGTCATGCTGCTGTGGATTGTTGTAATGAATGTCCATCGCGCACTAGAAGCCGGATATAATTGGTGCTTCGCAGTTAATGCAAGTGGCATATGGTTACAATCGCGGTTGAAATTTCCTATTGAACAGCATCCTAAATCTGTCCGGGAAAACTACTTCCTAGTTGAATGAAATAAATAATATTTATATACAACCTAGCTTCGCTAGAATCCAACACGCCACGACTACTAATGCAAGCATGCAGATAACGGAAGGATAGCGGCCAAGTGTAGAGTTTTATCACCTAGTTGTATACACAACACATAAAACGCACAGAAAAGTACCCGCAGGTAGTTTGGTACAGATTAATCATTGAAACTCGAGTGTATATTTAACGCAGAATTACGGATTTTGAATGCAATCACATCCATTAAGAAGAGGACTTACCCACATCCAAATCTTGCTCTATCAATAAAATAAATTCACCATGATGAAACGACTGTAGCATTCAACGACAGACTGCTTCACTTTCCCCAAATCATGCACGTTTCTGAACCGGCAAATTTGCGTTATATTATTTCTCCTTAGATTTGCTATTCAAGAGATAATCTGCGTCACAAAGGTGTTATGTGCATTCGTGCTATGTTACTGCAAACATGTCATAACTTTGAATCCACACAGTCATTTAGTGTTTAACATAAACTCTGGCTTGCGACTGGTTCACTCACTCTGATTCACCTTTTGTCCTGAAATGTGCGACCATTTGGAAAGAAATATCATTCCAATTATTTATGATTACGTGACTGATGTGGTACCAGATTAAAAAATATAGCTAAGGTGAGAGGAGCGAATGGCTAGTTTGCAGTTGTCGTTACCAAATTCACCATAGGACGCAACACAACGATTGAGCCATCAAATGCGTGGAACTGGCCACATCGTTGCTGCATCTGCAAATGCGGTCACCTCATTTTAAATATTCGGAAGGGTCACCATTTACAATACATGAAAACATTGTTCAAGCATGGTTCGTGATCGGGAAACAAATAAAAGAGAAAATGTGCTAGGTTGATGATAGACACTGCATTAACTAAGTGGGCAATAACTGTCCAGCTTGCTGACCAGTCCCTACTATATGCAAACGAAGTGTGTAAATGCCATTTTAAACAAAAGTTGCATTCGTTTAGTGAAGCACCTATACATTTTCAAAAGGTATATTTATTTATCCAGCAATTCTAAAATGTCAAACGTTTCATATTTCATTACATTTCATTATTTCCTTCGTTTTCTCTCTTTTATTGTATCACTTTATGTGGAGTTGGGAATTGATAAAAGGGTACTATCCTTAGTCCTGGTCAACGGTCCTAAAAACGTGTGAGAATTGTGCTTAGGCAGCTGTGCGAGAATATTGGAAAGATACCGCACGTGCGATAGTGTGGTTAATTTTACTTAGTAAGTTATTTATTTAACTAAATATTTTAACTAAATATATTCAAATTGCTGATCCACTGTTAACGTGCAACAGTTTGCTCTATCACCTTTGACATTAGTGACGACTAATCGTTTGCGTATAGGTCGATGCACATCACATAACCGTTTAATGTAGAAATATGCACGGGGCAAGTGAATGCCAATAAGTCGACCACAATCATCTAGCTCCATAAACATACTTCATCTAGGGCGTAAATTAGACATGACTAATTGAGCTATAAATTTATTTAATTAGACTGCCATCGACTACATCATTTTGCACAGTATTCGGACAGCAGAGATGACCAGGTTACAGCTTATTCAACTCACCCACGTCAACATCTAAATGAAAACCATACACGCTTTTGTGAAATAATATCACAAATCCATATGTTATGCATTGAATTTACTAATCGCAATGGCAACGGAATCTCATGCATAAGTTAGGTGAAAAGCCAAGTCACTTCTCCAATACAAGTAAAGCATGCTCATACGTAGGAACGCATCAGCTTGATTGGATCAAGTTATATTTCATAACATAGTATAAAGTAGCGCTAAATTTTTACTAGCAATGCATACTACCCTAATGTATACCATGTTCGACGTCTTGAACTTTTGCATCTATAACTCTAATTTCAAGCATCTGATGACCGTGATACACAACAGATGTTTGAGTGGAATGTCGCTACCTCCGTCAATCGCTCTCATTTGACAATGTGATCACCAAACCTACCATTTTTCAGCCATCATCATCAAATTCAACGGATGTGGCCCGATTATGAAGTAGGTTTGCTACAGTCCAAACAATTGCCGAAACAGGCGCATGCAAATCCAGCAGAGCTACGAGTAAACGATTTCGACATTAGACACCTTGCATCAAAGTTATCTGAGTCAGACATGAATGCTTTATGTTTAAAATGCGAAGCAGACACCTGCATTGTCCAACCCACTGTTGAAACTACGGCGAATTACCCAATTCTTGCTGAAACCGGAACTTCGTTCTGTATTCATTCTACCATGCAATATGAACCAGCTCAAATATCATTGACAGCACTCCAACAAAATCTTTTATTTGCCGACCAGGCTTTAGTCGGTGAAAGCTTGGACTTATCATTCGCATCCTCAAATATACTTCTAACTCCATGCACTCCCTTGTATGCATATCAATGCGCAGGGACTCTACATCCAACAATCCGACCTTAATTATCGACAAGTCTTGGTGTCCATGGACCTGATGTTGATAAATGAGTATTGGCTGAATCATGAAATCCCGTAGCTTGAGACCTCTCTACCTCATATGTCTGTTCTAGGTGAGGATCAACCTAATAGAGGAAGTGGCGTATCTTCGTATTGGAAAATGCTCTAAGTTGCCAAGTCGTTGTGGAAAAGCGCTTCAAGTCGTTGGTTCACTTTGGTGCCCCCGGCAAATAAGTGGTGGTAATGCATGTTTATTTACCCTCGTATACGTCCTCCCATGCCTACTCTAGTAATTTACAGTCGTCAATCTTTTGCACTAAAACAGTTCTGGCTCAGCCTAACTCTCACGTTCGCCTTGCAAAAGAATCACAAGTTGCACGCACTGGATATTCTTGCCTCAGCTGGCGAACAGTTAACAAATAAACTACAGGAAATTGCCGCTGGACCACCAATAAATAACCACGTTACTTCTCCTAAGAGATACAGAACAGGGAACATGTCGGCCATGTTAGACTTTGTCTTCCCCCATGTGGAACATATGGTCAACACAGTGACGGTGATTGGCACCCTAGGGCACTGTGATCTGGCAACTTTGCTATTCCGGTACACTGAAAAGTACAGCAAGGAAATCAAAGAGGTCCGCATAATAGCACACCACAACCTTTTATCCGACCGCATTAGGATCACTAGTTTGTCTGTTCAGGCGGAACAATCCCACTATGTCGCTTAGGAAAATTCGTCGGTTAATTCAGAACCTTAGTAACCAAGGCATCAGAGACTAAGGTCAATTACCAAAAGTCAAATCCTTCCTGAGGAGCACAACGCGGAAACGAATGACCATGAGATATTCACCTTGGAAAACATAACATTCCGATCCAAATGCCGGAAAGTGAGCTGCTTACATAAATCAATGAGATCATTGTGTCAACGTGGTCCGAGACAAACAATTGTAACACTACAGGATTTGCTGAGCAAATTCCGCCGCAATCCCAAGCTACTTTATAGGCATGCAAATGCACTTTGCGAAGTACAGCGTTGCATCTCCTCTCCACAAACTCTGTGGGCAGGCGCAAAAGGCAAAACAAACCTCTAATTTTCTTATATGGCAGTTTGATTGTACTTTCCATAGCGTTTCGCAGTCTCCTGTTAATCCCACACATATCAGAACACCACCAGGACTTGCCACATTACCTACACAGCAGCGGATGTACTGAAATGTCTAATGCTTCTTCGAGAGTACAGTTTAGCTAGTCAGGATAGCTTTACCTAAAAGTAATCATGCCACGTGCTGGGCTGAACCACCATCTCAGTTGTCCCAGTGCGCTTTAAACGAGATGCCGGTCCCAAAATATGTGGAATCGTGGTATAGTTACCCCCATTTACAAAGGGGGTAAGGGTATGGTGTCTGCGAACTGGCGGCCGATTACTCTTCTTCCTGTACTAACTACATTGATGAAACTAGTCGTTGCAGGTGCACTTATGGGATATTCTGAAAGGGGACATATCATCGTGCAAGAGCCGTATGTATTCTGTTAAAACCATTCAAATAGCACGAATCACCATTAGCAAGTGCTAGCTGGACAGAATCCGTTGCTGATGAAGAATGTGTCGATATCACTTCCTTTGCTCCTTCAAATGCATTTCATCGCATTGCTCGTTGAATTCTGTTTCAATAGCGTCAGAGATACGGGACGGATAAAAGTATTCTAGTCTGTATTCACTCACTCCTACTCCAAGTACGGTTGAATACGCGGAGTCTCAGCGCACTGTCCGACCCGTTACAGGTTCATTTTTGTGTGCATCAAAGATCAATACTAGGTCCGCGACTATTCCTCGTGTTCTTAAGTGACAACGCAGGAATGTTGACATCGTATTTACTACTCATTGCGGGATATCTCAAGATTTGCGAACAAAGAAAAGAGTACATGAACAGATAGCACTGCAAGGGGCTCGCGACAGG